GTCAGTGGATATTCCACTGAGGGTCCAACAAGGAGCCCGAGAGAAAAGGCCCCCGTGACTGCTGTACCATAACATTATATCTTTATATTCATTACTTTTCGTTATTATTTAGACAGTAATGTAAAATTAATTATTATTAATTATGAATTAATTTGCTGATTATTTTCATGACTAAGTGATTATTTGCATGACAAATGACTTAATAAAAACAGTCGCTAAATAATTTTCTGTCAGTTGATTTAGAAACTAATTGCTTCAGCTGCATTTGTATGTGCTGATGTATATGAATATTATTGCAAAGCAGCTTATATCATCTTCAGCTGTCAGGTAAATGTACAACTACCTACAAAGTTAACTATATATAGTTAACTTAATTTGGAGTAAATGTTCTTTCCACCACTACAGTTAAGTGCTTAGCAAGTTGACCCAACCCAAAAAGTAAATTCTGGAACATCCTGCTGCTTTAAATGAAAAACAATTAAAAATCAAATAAAAATACCACACACAATCACACAATCTAGGACGGTTGCATATCATGATAAGATCTTACAGAAACATTAATGTTGAACCATATAATCAGTCAATAATATCTAGTGGAAGTTTGCAGTGGAGCGGGTTCATCCAATCTCAGCAAGGACCCTGGTGAACTGAATGTGACAAAATGTAAATGAAAAGTGCTGAAATTGACCTAAAAAGACCCAAAGTGTAATAAGTTCCTTTAATAAATGGATCTTATGTTGACAAATTGTTGGTAATCACACAGCAGTTTCATTTAGCATGGGAAGAAGTGGAGGTTTTTATATTTTCTCTCTGCTTCATTGTACTGTGTGTGGTGTGTGACTACATACATCATGTGGTTGGTTCGGGACACGCACACAGAATCTCCACAGACATCCAGTTCCTAGCAACTGCTAGCGTTAGCTTAGAAAAGCAGGCAAGTGTGAAGATACTCAAGCATTTGTTTGTAACACTGACATCTGAATGTAAAAACTAATTAACGGTACACATTAAACATGTCTAAATACAGAAACACAGCCACTGTTTTACACGTCAGTCAGTCAGCTTATGTACTGTGCCCTCCTGTGGAGCTGCTAAATACTAGTGAGTCACATTATTTAATAAAAAACAAAAACAATTGAAATGTAAAAGTGGAGTCCTCTCATATGCATTGGAATGGGGTGGGGGGAGTCACAGAAATTAGGTCAGCAGTCTTCCTGCATGTGTTTACAACCGAGAGGCCACTGCAGTAACGGCGTCTGTCTGCTTCTCCTGATTAGTCTTCTGATTAGCGCAATTAAAGCTTGAACATCAGTGCCTTGCAACAAGCGATTGATTGGGTAATTAACATGAGCAATGATATAAACTATGTCTCGACAAAGATAAGAAAGCTTAACCTTTAAGCTGCACAACAACATTAAAGTCTAAAGTGAGTGCAGATGTACTGACAGGTGACAGATGAAAGTAAAACCTGACACAGAGAGTCCCAGTGAGGAGCTGGGCCACCACAGGCCACCAGAACAGCTCCACCTTGACTCTCCAAGTCTCTGACTGCTCCTGGTGAGATGAACAGCGTTCTTCCAACAGATGTTCCCTCATGTGGTGTTTTGATGACATTGGTGGAGACGCTGTCTAACACGTCGCTCCAACATCTCCCATAGTTGTTCAACTGGGCTGAGACCTGGTGACTGGGAAGGCCACAGCATCTGGTTCACATCATGGTCATCCTCATCAGACCAGTCAGGGACACAGGGGGGGTTGGTGCTCTGCCATCCTGGAGGAGACCGACCGCTCCCCTCAGGATAGAAGTGTTTCATCACAGGATGAAGGTGATCACTCAGAAGCACTTTGGTCTGCAGTGACCGTTCTCTCTGAGGGGACAAGTGGACACAAACCACTGAATTCATTACATTTCTCAACTCATTTCTTCAGGCTTTTCTCTAGTTTTTCATCTGTTTGTATATGTCATTGTTTATCCCAGCTCATCTGGTGACTTGTGAATTTACCTGAAAGACCCGCAAAATGTTGCTGCATATTCAGGAAAGTAATTTCAAATCCCTGTTCTCTAGGATTCTCTGGTCGGACTGTAAATACACTGAGCTGCATGGTTACAGGGCCCGGCACCACCTGGCACAGCTCGGCACAGTATGGCTCTGACTGAGCCGGCATAGCACGCTTTGGCTCGGAGTGTCGGCACCAGCTTGGGCAGATGGTCGGCAGAGTGATGAGGGGGAGCCGGTGACGCAACCGTCACCACACAGTTGAAACAACCCACCAAATACCGGTGGTGAAGACATCCATTCTCTCTCACACACACACCAGCCTGGTTCATGTACCCCCGTGTGTGTGTGTAGTATACTGAGATTGAGGTGCTTCACCATCTGATCTGCTGGAGACCCCCAGTTCATAGCAGTAGCCATGGAAACACACACACAAGGACATGCAGCCATGCAGACACGTGTCACTGCACATGCACATGGGAGTAATGAGATATACAAACACACACAGAAACAGCAGCCTCCATGACTTTGGATCTGATGTCTGAGCTGTCAGAAGGGTCCGAGTGCCTCCCGATGGTCTGCTGCTACACTTCCTGTGTCAGACATTTCTTTTATTATTCAATATCTCACATATACAGTCAGAGAAAGGCAGAGTCATAACACCGGACACATTGCTATACCAAGGATGTGCAATTATATTTTAGATAAGAAAATTATGTCACTAGGACTTTAGTTAGAAAACATTATCCTGTTTGAAGGGGGAAAAGTAGCTTATTTATTATTATTACTACTATTTTTAAAGGCTCTAATTTCCTAAAACAACTTGGCACTGCAGTTTTTAGCAAATGTTACTGAGGAGGAAACTGTGCATTTGCTGGGGACTATTTTCAGCTGCGGATGAATACACATTCAGTGCTCTAGTGACTATTTGTGGCAGCAGGACAGTGTATGTGAGACTGAGACAAAATAAACTCCAGTGTGTGTGTGTGTTCATGATGCTGGAGGAACATGTCAGTGTGCAACAGTGTGCTGACTGAAGGACCGCAGGTAACAACACTTCCTACATTAAGTGTAGTGTCTGCACACGCTTTCAGATCGCAGAGTAAGACATTAGAAAAAGTTTGTTGGTGAGAAAGAATAAGCCTTTATTGGTGTCTGAAGGGGGGGAAAAAAGCCAGATCACAGACGCCATCATCCCTGTGGACAGCAGACAATACTGGTGAGGAATCAGGGTAGTGCTGAGCTCATGGGACTTGTAGTTCATAACAGTCAGTCACAAAAAGGAGACATTAGCTGAGAATCCACAGAGCTGAAGGAGAAATAACAAGGCTGTGCACATTATCATCATAATTATTATTGTTGTCATTATTACCCGCAATGCTGTTTTATTGTACAGCAGCAAGCTGTCACTGCCACCAGGTGAAGAGTGAGCCTCAAACGCTCCCCAGAAATTTGTATCACACTCAACAACACAGTTACATAAAAAAATAGCACTGTCAAAACGTGTCTGTGAAGAAATCCCCAAATCCCAGGTATCAAGAAGCAAAAAAGACATGGCTTCCTACTTCCATCAACAGATGGAAGCATGAGAAGCTCTGAGACTTCTCTTCCAGGGATTTAACTTCAGAAGTTTGTGTCTGTGTGTCAGGTTTAAACATATTTTCAAAAAACAAAAGAGAAGAAAAAGAATATATACATACACACCAAGGATAGAACTACAGCTCCCATAATGCACCTGGGGCTTGGTGGCTTGGTTAAGTCTCTGTGGACGGTTCCAACAGCAAACGGGCTCCTGGGAAATCACATTACAGTTCTTTCTTGAGAATTAAAAGGTGATTTAGGAGAGAATCAAATCACAGCTTCCTCTGAAGAGATCAGTGAAACAAAAAATGTGAAAGTGTCAACTAGAGCAAACATAATACTAGCAACTGCACCTGTAGTTTCTTTTCAAAGTAACATTGAGTTGCCATCTCTAAATAAAGACATCTTTAAATTAGCTGTCCACTAAAGCCCGCCCCCAAACAAAAACTGTCCAATCATAGCTCAGCGAGTGTAACCTGGTACAGTAGGTCTGTCAAGCTTCAGACATTCTTTCCAAAACCAAAAAAAAAAAAAAAACAAAGTGTATGGACCAGTGTTTGTCTGCTCTAACACTGGCCCACATTACCTTAGCTGGCTGATTTACCTTTGGCAAAGCCAAGACAGGATCAACTACCTTACATGTTATTTGTCCAAATAAACCTACAGCATGAATACTACATAAAAAAAGACTTGCAGAAATTTGTATCACACTCAACAACTGGGATAATTTTGTTCTAAACTGCAATTAAAAAAAAAACTACGGTGTTTATTTACATCCACCTGGATCCTCAACTGGTGAAGATGCTGGCATTTGCCTATATGTAACTTTAGCCTGTTTTTTAGCAGAATTACAAGTGGGAAGTTGGAATGAAGGCACTCAGATGTTTGTAATTAGCCTTTGGTTTAAACAAAAAGTAAATGCAGTGTTGGCGTTCAAACTAGGATATATGGGAAATGGTGTTCATTAAATTCCACTAAGAACAAAAAATACTAAATAAACATTAAAATTAGATCACTGTCCAGTTTGTTAGGTAACAGCTTGGTTGGACAAGAAAAACATCTGCCAAAAAATGTCTGTTTTGTATTTTCTTTTACGAAAATATTAACAATAAAACCCAGATACTTTGCAACAAAAATTTAAAAAAATAAAATACCCTCCGCTCCCCCCCAAAAAGTAAAAGAAACACAAATTCAGTGATCAAATTAAACAGCTTTTTAATACACATATTTAATACCTCAGACAAAAACACCTGAGAAAAAACTGACAAAATGATTCCAATAAGTTTTTCTGTAATATATTCAATTATGTATATTACAACTAGAATCACACAGTTCAAGCATATATCATATACACATATATATCTAGTGAGAGAATAGTTTATATTCAATAGTACAGTTGTATGGTACAGTAGCAGTAGGGCGCATTTCTCGCTTCTTATCGGGTAGCGTTTGGAGGAGAGGTATAGACAAGTGTTTGTGTGTAAATCCATATACGATTTATCGATACGATACGCAATAAAGGAAAGAAAAAACTAAAAAGAAGGAATAAAAAATTATAGGCAGTTCAGTACTGTGTTTGACATGGTGTGTGCATGTGTGTCAGCATGATTTCTGTCAAAGTGTGTGTGTGTGTGTGTGTGTGTGTGTGTCAGGTCAGATCAGCACCATAGAAGTCCATAACAACAACAACAGTTAAAACGCTGTGGAATATTATATTATTCAAAAAGGTGTGCTGGGAAACACCTGTAAACTTGTACATTTGGGTTGTAAGCTTGTAGTTTTAGGGTTGTTCATATATGCCCACACGAGCCCCAGCCCCCCCCCACCCCGCCCGAAAATATTTACAGGTACAAACCCAAATATACAAGCATACAAAATGAGTGTACAGATACAAACCTGTGTTTCCAAGCACACCTTTTTGAATAATATAATACTCCATAAAACCTGGGTGAGGACTGTGCATGTCCGCATGCTGAAGGTTTCAGTCGCCGTTCATTCTGGTCAAACCAACCCTAAACCAGTTAGCATTTCATTTTTGCACTTCCCAGTCAAACTGAAGGGTAAACCGAGAGAGGGATAGACTGTAACCACGTTGTGTCCGAGTGTGTATGTGTGAGCAAACTAAATGCAAACCTGACAGCCAACCCCCCGTTTCATTTATTCTCAAACACCTGCTCACATCCAGCTGTTCTGACACTTAATTACTTCCTGTTTTCCTCTGTCTTTTTCTCCTTCACCATCTCCTCTGAAAATAAAAGCCCTGCAATTATTTAAAAATCAGACACGGAATCAAAGAGAAGATAACAAATCAGGTGCTCAAATGAGCCCACAAAGAAAAGGAACAAACACAAACGTTTCTTAAAGACTATACAGTTTTTCTTTCACTGTCTTTCTCCTTTACACCAGAAACAACTAACGTCCCCTCATCTCCCCCTTGTGAAATACCTGATTCAGTGTTACATTCTCTGTTACGCCTCCAACTAACGACTCCCAAAACTGAAAATAGTTTGCGTTGTTTTGCAATAAACAGGTGTGAGGAAACCGCTTCATATGGCCCCTTGGTGACTGTCCAGCTAACAGCCCCTCCCCACCCCATATATAAAATATACAAAATCCTCCTCCCAAATATCTCTACTAATAGAAAAATATACAATAATCCTATGTCAAAATCTCTTTGCGTTATGGATGAAAACCCTGCACCTCTCGCTCCTCCTCCCCTTCTTTGCTGGACTAGTCTTGCCTTCCTGCACAGTTCAAAAATATACACGTCTTTTGTCCTATTTATAGAAAAAAGAAATTACACGACTGACCTCTCCTGGCTTGTGTCCGTGCCTTGAGCTTAAAAAGTGAGATTTCACTGGCATAATGTGAATTCAGCACCCTGTTTGGACTGGCCAGACCAGCGGCCGGGACGCACTACCTGCAAAAACGCCGTGCAACACCGGGCGTAAACACAGCACCGAGGGAGACGGAAGCTGCCGTGGTGACACAAGGTGGTGATACACTACGTTGTGTAGATTCAGCGAAGCAGCATCTACAAAGAGTCAGACTGGGAAAAAAAATACCATGGCTGCATCTTCCTGTCGTAACATCCTGAAGCACAGCGCACACACTCAAAAACACTTTTGTGCTTGCGCCCGGTGTGGCACGGTGCTTACTGCAGATCTACGCCGGACTTCCCCCTCACCACCTCAATTAAAGTGCTGCTGTTGTTGGGTTTCCTTGTACCCTTTCCTCATCTCCTCTTCCCTTCCCACCCCTTCCTCCTCCATCTTTTTTATCCTCCGCCTCACAAGTCTCCGTGCCGGCTCTCGTACTTGTTGATGATGTTCCTGCAGCGGCCCAGCTCTTTCCTCATGTCGGCCACCTCCTGGCGAAGTGCAGCATTCTCCCGCTCCAGGAAGGCAGCACGCACAGAGATCTGGTTCTCCTTCAGCCGTCGGGCGTCCCGCGAGCGTTTTGCTGCCTCATTGTTCTTGATGCGCCGGCTCCAGTACTTCTCATCCTGTCACCGGTGGTATGTTGGGGTGTGTGGGGAGGAAGGTGGGGGGAGCACAGAGAAAAAGAGAGAGGGATGAGAAGGGTCAGTTATGTGGTGAGAGAGAAAAGATGGCAGGAAATGCAGAAAGGATGGAGGAAAGATGGGAACAGCTGAATAGTAGCAACTAGAGTCACGACAGTTGAGTGGTCTGTGAGAGCCACTGCACTCAGTCGCTAAAAGCTGTGTTTTTACCATGGCCTTTAAATTGACTAGTAACGTTCTTAAAGCTACAGCTCAGCCCATTTACAACTGCCCGAAACACCCGTGTAAACTCACCACACCTCGGCTTTTGGCGGCAGTGGGAATGCAACTACTGAGACTAATGTCCCTGCAATCAACAAGGGACGTTATCGGCGTTACCTCGGCACGGGAACAAGGGGAAAGTCAAACTCGGCTAAACATGCGAATGTACATAATGACGCATGTGTCGTCATCACTTCAGGAGTCCAACAAGGAGGTAACGAAGGCTTGCTCGTCTCCTCTGTTGATAATTTAGCCGATTCTTTGCTGTCTCAGCCATAAAGGCTTGGACAGCACCTCTCTACATTAAGACACGTTTTGGAGCTGATTTTTACAAAAAGTTACACACTGTACCTTTAATTAATACACAAAGTGTATTAATGTGAATCCATGTTTTACATCATATTTTTTGCCAGAATCTTGCAGTCACACCAAAGAAGTGAATATGTAGCTGTCACCGTGTTCTGTTTGTAGGGGGTCTAGGAGGGTCTAGGAGGGGCATCCAGACACGGAGTATCAACTGACTGTACTGGTGTTAACAGAGATTGTCTAACAGCCACTGCTTTGCAGCCATTTGCCACTGGTCTGGTGACAGTTTTCTAGTTCTTTTTGTAAAATGTGACACTGGGACCATCCTTCCTGATATCTTTGAGTCAGATAAATGTTGAGTTAATCTATGATGCTAAAGCTAATGGTTTTCCCACTGTGTTGCGTGTAATTACAGCTGCTCAAATTAGTCGCAAATGGTAAATGTAGTTATGTGTAACACAATTAAACTGCAAGCTGCACAAGCAACAAACAGAAGCTGTAAATTAGCTGCATTCTGTGGGAGCTGAATGTGCATTTATAACATACAGTTATGTTCAGGACGACAGTGGAGAAACGTATAATTCTGCAGTGACAATTCGAGAGGTTTGGCTGTTTTGATGCTTTCCTAACATGCATGTATTTAAAAGACCCACTCATCAGTTTAACAGTGTGCTGAACTCAATAACATTCAAGACGTGGCAGCTTGTACAGCATAAGATAGGAAAACAGTAGGAATGGCTGAAGTGAAAACTGTATTAATAATTCTCTAAGAAGGCCAGGTCCTCTGGTCTTGCCCTGCTGAGCTGCTGACATGCTGTGCAGCCTCACAGAGGACTGCCAACATTGTTCTTTCAGGCAATGAAGACATTTGCTGGCTGGTTAGGGTCTCATAACAAGAAGATGCCGTGTTCAACTTTTGGACTTTGAGAGCAAAACTAAAATCCAAATTGAAGGTAAACCCTTCCATATACCTCGAGCTGAAAGATGTATGCCGGGGTGGCGACTGCCTGGTTCACACTGTTTCCTCAGGGAGTCTTTTAGAGGATGTGTTTACATTTGGCAACATTAACGTCACTGAACAATTAAACTCATCAAATAAATCATCCTGTTGCAACATTTTTGTAAGGAGTTCCTGGATTATATATATGTGTTTCAAAATGTTGTTTATGAAAAACTCAAATTCTCCATCCCGTGATCCTGAAATCTCTTTCATCTTTTAATCATAGCCAGATTTTGCTGCTATGCAGTGGCAAAGCTCACATACATACGGTACATATGAGGAGCAGCTGAGTAATCCAAGCTTCATCTTCAGATCTGGTCAGAGTTCGGTTTTCCAAACCTGCGTATAAATGATTTATAAAGGCCTCCGTGTCTGGACACTGAAGGTGAGCGTCTTAATCTCCCCATAAATCACAAACGCCTCAGGAGCTGCAGCTGCTCTGCACTGAACTATGAAAGCACGAGCTGTTGATCAGAGCTTTTCCTTATTGTGCACTGGGCTGAGTACAAAACATCTTCGGGCTCTGGTCATAAGGCATCGATAGTAGCAGGCGTCACGCTCCTTCAGTTTTTTCCACATGAATACAGGAGCTGACAAAGAGCTGTGGTCATCACACAAAATGTCAATTTTTAGACTTTCAAGATATTTATTGTATTTTTCTTACAAGACTGTATTTACCTTTAACAGACTGTAAAATCTTGAAAACCAGAAAAAAAGCAAAAGCTAAACCTGGATGGTCATTGAGTGCATTAGCACTTCACATGAATCAACCTCCTGCAGTGGAAACAGTCAGACTTTAGGAAAGAAAAGGCCTATGGGAGATGTAGTACCTTCTGCTCGTTGGGGACCAGCATCTTGCGGGCCTTCTTGATCATAGGCTGGGGTTTCAGCTCCTCCTCGGAGAAGCGGTGCCGCCTCGGGTCAAAGGCCTCCTGGCCCGGCACGCTGGACAGCGCCAGGTCTGCAGGGTCAGGGTCAAAGTTCACCAGGATGTCGCTGCTGGTGTTGGCCACAGCCGGTGGTCCCGGGGGTCCCGGAGGACAGGTAGAGGAGGGTGACGGGTCCTGAGGCACCGCCTGACCACCTGGATGGAAGAAAGAGAGTCTTCAGATACACAGACACACCCAATGAGAGTCATGGAAGCACGATCATACAGAGAAGTCATTAAATCTGTCGAAATGATAGTGATCTCGTTTCGCTTACACATCTAGCTTGTTGACAAACTACAGCATCTGACTTTAAATCCACAATTTAAAATCTGACTCACATGCACTTTTTAAATTTATCATATTCATTTGAACATTTGTTTCAATAAGAAGTGAACAGTAGGTTACAACAACTTTTTATGTACTGAATAGCTGCACAGCTTACGAACATGGACCAATACGCACCTTAGCGTGTTAATACTTATATTACATACAGTATATTTGTCCTTTTTATCTTTCAGGTTTTGTTCTTAATATTTGTCTGATTGTTATGTTGCACACAGGTTTTTCTGCAGAGCCTTAAGAGAAGGCACACTGCATGTCACTGCACTCATTGTTTAAGCATAAAACATATGAATCTTAAATCTTGAACTTAAATCTCCGACCCAATCGGACATCAGGTCTAGCACAATATCCTGTAACTAGTGGTTTGGTGATTCAGTATTATTTCATTTCGAGCTCCTGTAAAAAAGATCTGAGATGTTTTCTACATGTTCTATAATGCTAAATGAAAAAACCATCTAAAAATCAGGCAGCTTCACTGTCGTGGTGGTTCAATCCCACACAGGTCAGACCCTGCAGCTGCTCAGCCAGGCTACGTCCTCTGGCTGCAGTCACAAGCTGCACACGGTTTCTCTCTCCTGTTCTGTCAAGAGGGCAGCGATACAAGACTCAGGCCCACTCAGATGAGCGATTACCCTGTAGACGGTGGACACTATGTTCAAATTTAATTTTAAATGCGGGAGGAAGGGTGCAAGTATGTTTGTTTCTCTATTAAATCCACCCACCTCTCTTTTCTCCTGCTATTTCTTGTATGATTAGTGACAAGTGGACCCTTCATATTCTTCACATTCACCCTTAAATCTCTGCAAACAAACAGCATCTTATGGACGTCTCCCACAGTCACTGCAGTGATGCCGCTTCACCACCAAGTGTCGGTCTCGAGCTAGAAACGCCTAGGAGGGCAGCCAGCTCACATCAGGCTGGATTTACAACAAGCTGGAAGAGCAGGTTTTTGTTTTAACCCTTTGTGGTCCTTGATGTAGGGGAGAGTCGCTTTGTGTTGCTCAATTCAAAACCAGGGTAATCACATGTAGAGAAATCAAATCAAAAATCTGATTTGTTGCACTTGTTTACACTGAAAAAGCTGTGTTTAAGAAATTAGATCATGCTTGAGCTGGTGTGGCAGTGGCAGCAGGCTGTAGTCTTAAAATTCAGGGTTACAGAATGGAATTAAATAAGCATTAAAACACCTTTAAAACATAACAAAACAAAAGATATGGCATACTGGTACAATATTAGTGGGACAGAACTGATGCAAGGAAAGTTAAATCAGCTCAAATGAAAGTCCTCCATGATGCTTGTACCCTGAAGCTGTTCTGCATTAAGATGTAAAAGAACAGAGCCCAGCAGAACAGCGAGTCTTTTCCCAGCCACATCTCTGCATCAGCTGGTTATCAGAACATTTCCTTACTATTTTTGACACCTTAAAAACAACAAAACTAGATTTTCCCAAATATTTCCTCACTGGATTCTAGTTGAGCAGTCATCCAGTATCATTCAGATCTCTTCTGTGGCAGCTTTTGTGAGACATCTTTGGGAGCTCTAGGCTCTGAGCCACGGTTTATAAATAACCGCAGAGCTGGCGACAAATATCGACCGAAACAGTAGCGGAAAGATTTCAGAGCAAATTAAACAGAAAAGGAACATGTTTACAGTACGGCTCTGGACTCGGCGGAGCAGAGATCAGGAGACATTACTGCATGCCTCCGTCTGATTCCTCTCATTAATGACAGATTTATACAAGAAAAACCATCACATGACAAAAAGACCCTGTGACAGACAAATGTTCTCAGCTGTCAGGGCCTTTGTGCAGCCAGAGCGTTTTATAAACCTGGAAACGTCCATCAGGCTTGACACTGATTTGACTGCTGCTGTGAGCTGTCAGTCACTTTGTTACACACGTCAACCACAATCCCACAACCGGCTCCTCTACAGGGTCTGAGGAATCAAGCTGACACTCCATGGCAGGCAGGGGGGCTGGGATATCTGAGGGGGAGGAGGCTGTCGACGTTCCTGTGCTCCCTCTGAAATCCAGCTGACTACGCACTGGGCATGCAGAGCCAGGAGAGCAGTGGGGAATTTTGGGAATATAAACCTTATGAATGGTAGTTTCCAAATTTAAGCTCTGAAATAAAATCTTCTCAAGACATGTTCACGATTGTTTGCTCATCAGCGATTTTGATCTGCTTAGGAAAACCCCTCAGGAGCACACGCCTACTGTTTCGTACAGTTTCTTAGGCCAAATAAGAGCTGGGATGGACTCAGTGATTCTTATGAAAACAAGCTTGTTTTCCCCAGAACCTCCAGCACAACATGAGTGTCATCCTGTCCTATACGGTTATTCTTGTTATGTTTCCTTTGGTCTAAATCGGAATGGAAAAGTCGACAATGTGTGCATTTGGCTCTTTTGGATGCCCAGCTGCAATCAAATCAGGGCCTGTAAACAAACGTCACATGGACTCACAAACAGAGTAGCTTGTTTCCCGAGTCTCAGCGATCTGTCTTCTGTCATCCTGCAGAGTCTGACAGTTTGGCAGAGGAGACAAGACCACATTCAAACTGTTCTCCTCTTGAAAGAGGCTTCAAGTTCCAGGTGTCATTTCTGCCAAGAGTTTTCAAATGCTTTTGTTTGCTTCTCAACAATTGAACTGACTGAATTCTGTCGCTCTCTCTCACAGCGCATAAATAGGTCACCGCCATTTTTCCACTTTTTACGAGTGTACTTCAACACTCTACTGATCACACCTGTGTCATTCTCTCTACAGCTGAAATCAAACACTGTTGGGACAGACGGCACTGATGCAGTGGTTCCCACAGTCCACACAGCAGTAGCACAGTCTTCTCCAGCACTGCCTTTGTACAGAGAGAATCTGTTGTTGTCAGTCTTCTACAAACGCCAGGACACCTGTAGGAACCGTCTGCATCGGTTTTCAAGGTTTCATTTACTTCACTTACCCAGAACGTTCTCGGTGTGAGGCTACAGCGCCAATGACTGTTCCACCATGCCGCCCTTTTGTGTGACACTGTGATGTGAATTGTTTTTGGAAAAAGCGGCTGATATATGACTACATTATGGATTTAATCCCCACATTTGCAGCCCTCCACCTATCCATGCATACTACATACAAAGTGTATACATTCAAACAATCATGATGAATCTCTCTGGATATCTACAGTGCACACCATGATGCCTTCTACACATCCTCTGGTCCATCTGGTTGCCCATGAAGCAGTGACTCCCTCAGATCAGCTGATGCTGGCTTGATCTGTTCCCCTGGCAGCTGCACAGGGCTGATCCTGGATAAGTCTGGCAAAGCCCCGACCTAATAACTACCATTTTGGGCAAAAACCTGAAGCTGATCCAAGAACACGGCCCCCGCTGCTGCCGGGTAAACAGCCGCCAAGAGTGGCTTCGCCAGGCTTCATTTCCTGTCTGTGAGCGGGAGCCATTTGGAGGAGCCAGCTGCTGACTCTCAGATTCTCTCTGCTTTCATTAATTTAGCTGAGATTATGTGTTTTTCCTCCTTCCTCTGCTGCCACTCTGCTTCTCCCTGTCTATCCACATCTGTGACCAGCTGACATACTGTACATAGTAATCCTATTTTTGGGTTGAAGCAGGTGGACGCAGTTTTGAGACATGATCATAAAAATCTGTAGAGGGAAATGCCAAGTTTTAGCTTCTATTCTTTATTTTCAAACTGCTCGTCTCCTGAGCCGCCATTTTGCCAGCGCAGTGGGCAGGGACGCCCACAGAGGCCAAAAATAGACAGGCGGAGGGTCAGGTGAGCAACCTGATCCACCTACACATCAAACAACAGCTGAATGCAACAAACTCGTTGCTGCTCTCTGGATGCAGAGAAAGGCATTTTGGGAAATGTACAATGTATTACAACATCCCAAATTTGGACGTTTGTCCCATCCTAGTCTCTCTCCCCCCACCGTTGGTCTCTAACGTAAACTGTCAAATAAAGCCTTAACAAGACGTTTTCTGCGTTAACACTCATCTTATGACCTTAGTTTTCAAAAACGCAACAGAAATGACTTGACTACAAGCAACAACAACAAAGTTAGTCATCTGAGCAGGTACAACAATTAGTCACCAAACAGCACATAACAGGAACAGTTACATGATTATCGGTGTTGAATTATGGGCAATACACTGACTCACACTGTTTACTTCAATCTGCAAAACACAAATGAACTGAATAACATTTTCACAGCACGGAAAACTGTTATTCAGCTAATGTCACAGCAGAATGTCATTTACATTTGGTTACACTGAGATTTAATCAGAAGACGAAGGAAACCAATAAAAACTTATTTAAAAAAAAAGTCAAAAAAGTTAAAAACAAGGGTGCAATGAGGAAATGCTACAGGCAGCGGTAGTAACAATAGTAGTAGTAATCGTGGTAGTAGTTGTGGTGGTATAACAGTATTAGCAGAAGCTTTAAGTAGTACTACTACTAATAGCAGCAATAAATGTTGTACCCTAAATGTGTTGTATTAGTACTAATGGTGGAAAAGTAGTAATAACAAAAGCATGTATGGTACTTGCAGTGTCATGAGTAGTAACAGTAGAAGTAGTGCTGCAGTACTACTACTAGTAGAAACTCTAACCAAATAATGCTGGCAGGTCTACTGAAAGTCACAGTAGCAGTGACAACAATAACAGTACTAGCAGGAGTATTTGTGGGCAGTAATATCAGCACTACTATTTGTAGTAGCCTTGGCAGCAGTACCAGTAATGCTAATGGTACTAGCAGTAATAACAGCAGTAGCACTAGTACTACAGTGCTTTTAAGAGCAGCACTAAAAT